ACCCGGCCGCAGTCGATCGTTGCCCACCGGAAGAAGAGGCGGAAGAACGATCGCGAGTTATGCGACGTGATGCCGCGGGCTACGGTGTTAACTTTAATCAGAACTCGCTCCCATTCTTCCCTCGCGCGACTCGAGAGACAGCTTGGTCGCGGGGAAATTTGCATACGTCGATGCGGATAAGACGATGTCTTGAAAGCTGAGGGATGGGAATGACGGATAGAAGGAAGAGGCGCGGATAAATAATTCTCGATTAAAGTGAACATTTTAAACGTTTTAAAAATCCCCCGTTGTCACGAGGACGGAACAAGTATCGCTGAATAAATAGCTTGTAGTTTTAATTTAATTTTAACTCCCGAATGGCGTTGTCAATTTCGACTACCCGGGTATCTGAGTCTTTTAGTAACTGAATATCCGATTCATTTCAGACAGCGTTATTATTTGTTATCGTTGAACTAATAATTTGCAACGTTTGAGATCACCCGTATTTTCAGTTACTGAAAGACTCGGATGTCCGGGTGGTCGAAATCGACAACACCACTCCCGAGTTGCTCCAAGTTACCGCACGAAAAGATTCATCGATCTTTCTCGCTTTTACATCGAACGAATTTCACAATATTGCGAAACGATATCAATAACAACGATGACAAAAGTTGCCAGATGCCAGATTGAGCCGTTATTAAAGCGAACATTACCGTGTCACGTAAATCGGTCGATGCGCCGAGCCATTTTGTGCACAAAACGGCCCGAATCTGCATGGAAAAAATGATTCGCGCGGTCGATTTATCTCACCGCTGGGAATCACGCCAGTCTAAATCGTGGCCACCATATTGTGCGCAACGTACATGGTACGGCAAAACTTGCGAATTTACAACATTGATGCAGCAATTCTTTCCGCGGCGCCAACCGCAGTGGCACATTTCACTGGAGCGGTCCGAAACGATGCACTCCCGCCTATCCCGAATACTTCCCGCAACATACTTTTCCCCCGCACCGTCTAAATCTGTCCGGGCCCTAACAACTGACCTTCCTCTATCTTAGACCCTAATAAAGAGCTCACTCACGATTTCCCGTCGTCGCAGAAACGTCGCGACTTCAAAACTAATATTTCACTCGGCGCTGCAAATTTTTCGAACGGACGAAAATAAAACAATAAAATAAATTTCGAGATAGAAAAAAACTGTGTATGCATATATATATATATATATATATACATCTATTGAATCTAGCTGGTACAAATCGTTGCTCGAATAGCGTATTTCAAAAATCGCTAACTAAATTTTGCATTCTGGCTATACCGTGTGCTCTGCACAAAGCATCTACGCACAATAGAAAGATTAATCGTAAATTTAACGGAATTTTAACAGTTGTGTAAACCCTAGCGCTGTAGAATTGCGGATTGCGCCATTCATGCGTAAAGATGACCCCGACCCGCCGGCATTCGAATTGATGATGTATGAATGCGAATAGAAACACTTTTTCACACGTTCGAGTCTAATAGGCAAATCTGGGAACTATCCTTTTCACGTCATTGTGCTACGTCATACCATTCATTCGCATTGTTGCGCGCCACGGTGTGTTTCCATCGGATATTCTCTCCACTAAGTATCGTCGTGCGATCCCTATAATTCACCGTCATCTTCCCTTTATCTATCCGTCGCTTCCTCTTTCTTTCAGCTCGAACACGGAGAAAATATTATAGTGAAAATTACTAGAAAAATTTATACTGCTGGAATATACCGGAAATATTATCGAAATTACTATGTGTGTTGTAATTTTTAGTGATTATCATATGCACACATCAGGTTACAACACATATAGTAATTTCAATAATAATTCCGTTATATTCTAACATTACAAACTTTTGTAGTAATTTTTACCATTTCAGTTATGTGTACACACGATATACATCACTAAAGATTACAACACACATAATAATTTCGAAAATAATTCCAGTATATTTCAACATTACAAACTTTTGTAATAATTTTTACTAGAATATTGCCTCCGTGCAGTTCGGCGGGATAAATCATTTGTTTCAAAGAAAGCAGGCCTGACCGGTTTTGTCTCTCTCTCTCTCTCTCTCTCTATCTCTCTCCCTTTTCCGCAAGAGAGAGACCGAGTTTTTAATTCTCGGCTTCGTCTGTTTCGTATTTCCGAACTGAAACTGGTAACGCTCGTGGCAACAGCGAAAAAGCACCGCAAGGCGATGCGCACTACCCGAAAATCAGGGATAATCATATACGTACAGCAGCCGTCGGCAAACCGCGTTCGGTGAAAATCGGCGTGAAGCGATTCCAGGGCCGTGCCGCGGTGCGCGCAAACCCGACGATGTACCGGCCGCGGACAGACGACGCTGCTAGGAATCCGAAATCAGGTGGAACGCACGATCGAAGCCTACGTGACTGCAATGTGCAAGAGTACCGCGGGGAGCGGATGAAAGCCGATTCTCTCTCTCTCTCTCTCTCTCTCTCTCTCTCTCTGTGTGTTATCCACGGCACAATCGAACCGTATGGAAAGTGCCGGCCGGCCTGCCAAAAGCGACCCGCGCATTTTCGGTAGCCAATCTTCCGCGTGGTGGCAGAAAAAAATTTAAGAGGGAAAGAAAAGGGAAGAGGCGGAGAGAGGAGAATAAAGCTGCCGACAGTTGATGTATTTGATCACGTTCCGAAAACTGCACGTCTCCCGCTCGATTTTGGCTGTGTGTTGTTACACGAATCGCGTCTCCGAAGAAGAAAACGCGCGCGACTGCCAAAAATCACGCGAGTCGACGATTGTATCCGGGCGTGCAGTTGGCGTCATATGTGCCGTATCTTTTCCCAGACGAAGAGTTACACAATTTTGAGCCACGTGTAAAGCATGAGGTTGAAAATCGCGAAAGTAACTCTAGTTATAATACAGTAGGGTTACAATGGCTCTAATAATAATAGTTTCGATCTTATATGTACATGTAAAAGGCTAAGAATCATGTAACAATAAAAAAGTTTCAATTTAGGAAATGGTACAGTACGTATTGCACTCTCCGTGGAGGGGCAACTTAAAGATACTTCTGTCACGCAGACTTCATAATACCAGCTAATAATTTATAAGCGTCAATTCGATGACGCTTATTATTTCCCTGATCGGCATGCATCGGAAACGCTCCTAAGTTTCTCCAAGTTTCTTCAACTGCAAGAACGAAAAAATGCGATAGAGAAATATGAAAGTGTAAAACGTTACGGACGATGTCGTACTGGGAGGAAACGAGGACGTGGCTCGACAAACGCTTCATACTTTTGCAAGTGAAGCTGACGGGGAATCACGCAAAGTCAGTGCCGAATAGTCGAAGAACGAGCTTCTCTGCCCCGTGTTATTCTCCGCACGGTCAAATGTATGCAAAGTGCCGGCGGTGAAGCTTCCTAAGGCAAGCCACGAATTTCGGTAGCTGATCTCCGGTGGAATAGCGCGATGAGAGGTGGAACGAGGACAGGGAGCTAGATAGATGAGTTTCGTACCTGGAGCAGATATCTTCGCCGTTCCCACACATTGTGTGTTGCCGAGAAATGATATGTAAATAGCTAAGAAGCAGAAGATGGAGGAAACTTGTTTGCATCCACACGGCTAACGTTTACACGTTTCAGACTGAATAATTAAATAATTACATTTACGCGAATTCTAATAACGATTCTACTTCACCAACTATGGATAATAGTTCTCAGTGGCAATCGAGGCACGTTGTTTACGGTAACGCTGCTCTTAACGATAGCGGTAGATACGACCAAGGGTTGCCACTGTTATCATTAGAACAGATGGTAGCGAAGATGTAAAAAAAAAATGAGGTCGATGTCGCATTAATCATTCTGCCGATAAGAAAGGTAGGGACGGAGGGGGGAGTAAACACACGAGAAACTCGGTAATCGTCGTATCATCCGCGAAATTCAAAGAAAGCGTCCTCTCGATAAGACAGAAAAGAAGCAAACCATCGCTTAGGAGGCTTTCATCGAGAGCCTTTGTTTATCGGTTCGTTGACCGAAACAGACGTTGATCATACCGGAAGTCCCGGCATGGTCCACAGCGGGAGCGGGAGCTTTCCCAGCACAGCGGATGTCGTAAGATGTTAAATGACGCTGAAAATACCGGGAGCGTCTCCTGGCTACTTCAAAGACGAGGAGGTAAATCTTGGCGAGGCGGATACACGAAGAGGGACCACGGTGGTGTGGCTCCACTTCCACTCGCTACGTATCGTGTTCGCTCCTACCTTTCTGACGTGGGCGGACGAGCCATCAATAAACATTTCCTATTGATATGCAAATCTCAATGAGAGCACCTTCGCCCGAGAGCCAAGTAACGACCCCTAAAACCAATCCCTTTCCACTCGCCGTCCTCGGCCGAGCACAGACCAACCGACATGCCTGGCTGATATTCACTCGCGCCCGGTTTATGATCCACAATGAATTAGAAATTTATCGAAAGGCACAAATTTTCGTGCGCGATATTAGACGTATCTCGTATCGATGAATCATGCGTCGTCGCCGCGGGACGGCTTAACCGGGTGTAATAGTAACCGTAAATCCCGTCGTTCTTTCCTACGTCGCGGAGCGCGTTAGCAACCCGAGAACGACATCCTGTTATAAGGACAATGCCGATATCGTTTCGATGACGATAACAGGGAGCTCTCGCTGCGCGTTTCGTTTCACTTCGTTAGAAATTCGAGATAGTATCGGTCGCGCCCAAGTACGATCGCGAGGCGAGGATAAAAGGGGCGAGGATAAAACGCGCACGGAGGAGATTAAGTCATCGGTACAGCGCTTTGAGGTATGGACGAAAATTTCGAGATAAATAGAGGCGGTGTGGAGGCGAGTTCAGTGTGCAAAGATTAAGGGCAGACAACCCGCAGCATTCTATTAAGTCCCATTCCAACTCCGCCTTGTTCGACTCTCTCTCTCTCTCTGTCTCTCTCTCTGTGTGTTCTCTCCGCTAGTCGCCCGGTACAGAAGCTTTCTTAAACTTAGATTACTATGTACCTTGGCGCGAAGTTCATAAACCTTAGCACCTGTAATCCGACATCGCTGACGGCCGCGACCATATCCCGCAATTGGAGACCTCGACGCCGGCAATCAGCGTGACAAAGTTGAAAAGGATCATCTCATCAAGGAGTATTATCGGTCTTGTAATCAACCGTCGTGCTACTTTCCGTAACTTTTTGCGGACTCCCTTCTCTCGTCGTGGATAATATTGCGACTTTAACTCTCCGGTCTCCCCCGACGACGAGCCAAATGATGCGAGCTGAACGATAAAGAGAGAGGGCCGACACGTTGGCGCAACGTTATTCGCAAAAATGATTCGCGCCGGGTTTAAATTACTCCGCGTGAAATTACAAGTTCGCCGCGCGGCGACTGCATCAGTTAAGGGCAACCGGTCCTATATTCGTCTGAGCGATGCGTATCGTGTCGTGGTTGCAGCGTCCCGATGAAATAACCGAGCGCGTCGTTTCCCATGGTCCCGGCATACACAAACACCGGGTCACTGCACGATATCACTGTAGCGTGACATCGCCGCCGGCGGCGTATCCCTCAAACAGGAAGCCACTCCCGGAAATACGCGTCAAGGACGCTCTTATCGCATCCCGCGCGGGCATTAAGTCGGACAGGTGGGCCGGGGAAGAACGCAGCGGAAACCCGAGGCGGGAGAGGCGCCTTCCTCACCTGTCGCGCGCGCGACTTTCCAACGAATATGCACCCACCCGCCAATTTTCGTACGTCCCCCGTCGTTGTCGAGGTGAGGCAAATGCCGCGAGTAGTCGAGTACAATGAGTTACCGGAGCTGCACTCGGCCACAAATACGCTGAATATGCATGAGGCCCCTGCTGTCTCCGCTACCGTTACGTACGTACTCGAATTAGATTTCGCGTAGGTTCTTCGAGTCCTGCTCGCAGCCACTTCAGGTACTCCAGCCGAGGCTCGAGAGTCTCCTCTCGCGGTCTTCCCTCCTTTTCTCTCTTTCACGCTCTCCCACCCCCTTCCTTCCTCACCTCTCCTTCACCTCTCTCTTTCTCTCGAGGGCTACGCTCCGTCGAGCTTCGACGTTGCCTTTCCACACGTTCGAACGAGATACAGGCTGCTGGACGGCGTGTCGATCAATTACTAGGAAAATTGAGATACGTATCACGATCGGATGAAGTCAACGACGCGGTGGTATTAATCTCTTCGCAAAATAATTGCATACCGTCAACCACGGGACACGCGTAATCGCTGGGGATATCTCTGAACGAACACTCGGTTCTAATTGCAAAAAGAGTGGAGTGCTCTATTTGTCATATTTTATACTGATCTTGATAATTTTGCGCTTATTTCGTCTGAAAGTATCTCAAACTCGCTCCGAATGTTTCCTGGCATCATAGGTAGAGTAACTCTTTATATCTCTGCGAAAACCATTCTGCAAACGAGAAAGAGAGAGAGAGAGAGAGAGAGATTGCTATTCTGAAACGCGCACGGGAGTGAGCTGCACCGAGCGCTCGTACAAGATACGATGTAATCTTTGTCCCTTCTCGCGCAGCGACATACTTTTATTTAAACAAGCAAAGAAATAAAAAAGCACGCGTCCCGCCTCTGAAGAGGTTCGTTATTATAATGAAAATATTCAAGCGTTTGAAGTAGCGCATTAAATAGACGCATTTAATACTTAGCGTCGAGCTCTTAAAAGAATTAAATATCTTTTGTGATGTTTCTCAAAATACTGCACAGCTCTTTACCCGGAGATTACTTGCATTAAGTCGCAGAGGCGTATCACCAAAGACAGAAGAAAAAAAAAGCGTAATCTGAAGTATCCTCGGTAACGAAATCCGCTTCGTAAATTGTAGAGTTTATCAGAACACAGCTGTTTCTTAAACAGATCGTTTAAATAATGGGCGTCTCGCTCACGCCGGTATCCTCGTTTAGATTTTCGTTACCCAATTCGCGGTGTCCTCGTTCAATTACACGACCGGATCCCACGATGGTACGCGATAATCTTCTCAACAGTTCTGTCTGATACCAGTGGAGTAACTTGCCCAAAACGAGTTCGTATCACAGGGTAATAGATCTAGTTCCGAAAAAGGACAAACGGCGAGGGCGAAACAGAAGGAATTTGCCGGCAGCACGGGAAGCTGCGGAAAACCGGACGAGGAAGATGAGAGCGCGCGATAGAAGAAATAAAATGCTTCAAAATGAGATCACTCGAGACTTGTGCTTATCGCGAAGAAGACGGATGATCGAAGATGGGAGAAGTGTTCGGAAATAAGAAAAAAAAGAAACGTACCGCCACGGTTTTCACACACTTTCACAAAGGGATAATTGACCCGAATACGCGTTTACTCGAACGCAAATAACAACGATATCGCCCGGTTTTAAATGTCTTGCACTTTATTAGCCACGAGATGCGAGGAACAAAAATAGTTTCCAACCAGAGCGTGGCATTTTTCAGGCTTAAAAAAGGCCATTCAGCCTGCTCTTTTCTTGCGTCCCCGCCGTTTCCATCCAACACCCGTCCGTCAGACTGCCTTTTTTCCATGTCGGGAAAACCGAAAAAAAAATATATATATTTTTTATACGACCTATCCTTTACACTTTACACGGACGCAAACGAGCCGTTATATAACCGGATTTATATACGTGGCAGAACCGAAATGATATACGGTCGCATGGGCAGGAAAGATTTCCGCCCTCTCGCGTTTGAATCCCTCCTTGCTCTGACATGCGGCAAAAAAATATCCGACTCGTTGCACCGCTGTTTCGTGCGTTACGTCGCGCGCTGTTTTACTTTTAAATGGGATCAACACGCGCGCCGCATATAGGCGACGCCCGGGCTGCAAAGCGATAACCTCTCGCCGGCCGAGAGAAGCCCAACACACGTTCGCGATTCGGCAATGAAGAATCGCGATCTGCTACGGCGAATCTCAGGAACACGGGGACCACTTAATCCTAAACTCGGGGCGAGCGCGCGACGATAAATTTCGCTTCTAATCTGATGGAGGGCGAGCCACGCATCGGAATGTACGAATAAAACGAGCTTGCCACCAGTATGTTCGAGCGTATGCTCAAAATTCAAGACGGCCGTGCACGCCGGTATCGCTTATGCGGCGGCGCACAATACCGAACCATCCGGCGGAACAGCGCTGTGAGCGGAGGTCTCCACATTTTTTCCAAAGGAAAGGATTTACGGCAAGTTTCCCCAGTATTTGTAATCTCCCTCGATCTGGTTTCGCAGGGCGCTTCGGAAAATCTGCGCCCTTTACCGAAGTCTATTTCCCCGCATGGCCTACGGATCGAGCGTTTATTGGCTCATACATGGGCTACATACCGCATAAAGCCCCTACATAAACGTAAACATTTACATAGAAAGGGGCTTGCGCGCAAGTATATAGACGTGTGTGCGCAAGACTTTCGTCTCAGCGCAAATTCGCCGTAATACGATTTCCCCGCTCGCGAAATAGAAAGAAACGTGCCGCAATCTCTCTCTCTCTCTCTCTTGCATTTATCCGCCGGATTAATTTCCGTAATTTCTCTAAATTACCCTCGCTCGCTCGTTCGCGCGTGTAACAATAAATTCCCGATAAATGGTGAGAGAAATTTACATTTGCTCGCGGATTAGACGGCGCGTCGAGGCGGAGTTCGTCGAACCGTCGTCGAGGAAGAAAGCGTGCGGGCAAGAAAGCTTCGCGATTCGTGACGAGAGAGACCGCGTCGTCGTGGTCCCGTTGTTTCGAAGTCTCGCCGCAAGACGAATTACACATTCGCGTGTCGCATTAACACGCAGCGGCGCGTTTTCTTCCGCGCGTATACGGAGCGTCGCGCAGCGTCGTTAAACACTGACGAGCGGCGGTCCAAAGGAGGTAACGGACGAATCTATCACGGCGGAACGCGCGGAAGAAATCCCATTAGAGCGGCAAAAGGGCGAGCGCGTCTGTACATGTCGATCAATTCGAGAAGTATTCGCGCAAGAGAGGCGAAAAGTTAAGCTCGCTTAAACTCGTTAATCGACCGCGCGCGCCCGGCGTAATAAAGTTATAATGATGAAGTTCAGCGTCGCGGAAACGGGAACGAGCGATATTTTACCGGCGTATTGATAGCTCCGCGATGCATTCTCGCACGGGGGGGGATGCATTACACCGCGCGATAACATCCCCGTTACAGGCGCGACTCCGCGCGACGAGTTATTGGAATTAGACACCCCTGATATCGATCACGCTCTTTTCTACGCGTGACGTAAACATTTCTCTATTTTGGCGGATACCAACGGGCACGGAAAATATCGCGGACGGACGCGAAAACCGAACCCGCTGGATTTACGACGGTGATAACACCGAGGCGCAACTATCAATCGTCCGGGGCATTCCGCGACCCTTGACGGTCCCTCGGCAATTTTTATCCCGCGCGTATCCGTGCGCGCGTATCCGCCGCGACGTGCTTTTCCATACGCTTGCGTAATCGCGCCGGCGCAAGTGCGCCTATCTTTTTTTCTTCTCTCTCTATCTCTCTTCCTCGCGAGGCGTTCGCGCGTCTTCGCACGAAAGTGCTCGCGGTCGATCGCGGGTTACGATGACGACGCTTGATTTCGGGTCTCTGCGCGCGCCTGGTGTGTGCGAAAAATTGCCGGTGGCGGCAAATATTTACGGGCTCCTCGAGGACGAGCCTCGAAACTTGACGGATTAAGCACTCGCGGCGCTTACGTCCTGTCGGCCGGATGTGTGTGAGCCGGTTTATACCTCGAGAACGACGGCTGCACGCGTCCCGTTCGAGCGCGCGCATCTTCCCACACCGAGAAACGCGCGTGCCGAGAGCTACCGCTCCGATATTGACAATGCTGCCAACAAGTCTTTGACATTTGGCAACGCGCGTTCGTTTCTCGCCGTTTCAGAAGCAATTACGCGCGACGCGGCTGTTTGTCGACGTTCCTGCCGCGCGCCTATCTTTAATCGCGCGTCGTAATATCCGCCGTAATAACGGTACTCGATAATGACGTTTACAAATTGTACCGGGAGATAAAAGCGGAGCGGCGATATTTGACGTTCTGACTCCACGACCTCTTTGCAGCGGCGTAACTCGAGCGTGAAATAGATAAACGTAAAGAGCGGAAAAATTGTGGAATACGGTATTGTCGTGTAAAAGTTCGCTCCTCCGTTGATATCAAACGATCGTCTCATCGACGCGATCCATAGGTTGATTTTCCGGCTCTGTGACGAAAAAAGGACTCGGAGCGGGGAAAAGGTTAAAGCAAAATTCACCCGGGGATAATGAACGCGACAATTA